TGCACTCGGTTAGAGCATAGACGCTGATAAACGTGCTGTAGTATTTGCATTGCTACGTACTATGGTAGACCAGGCTGGCTAAACGGAATACCTTACTGAGTGGCAAACTCGAGCTGGGAATTAAGGTGTTTAAGGTTTGAAAAATGCTAAAGTGGTTCGGTATGGCAATAGCGTAATGATTCCATATACATACATATACAGGTTAATACATATACATATGTATGTATGTGTGGGTATGTAAGTTAAATTCGTATACTAATTTCACAGCATGAACATTGAGTAATTCTGAGTTTATAGCGCCTGCTCTAGCATCTCGATGTAACAATAAAAGATTTTTAATAAAGCTAAATGCTATATAGGAGGTAATGGCTGCTCTCTAGTACCAGCTATATGAAATATATAATAGCATAATGTATGTATATGGTATGCACAAAAAGTTTTCCTTTTAATGTACAACGAGGTTTGAATGCGAAATTAAGACACTCAATCGCTTGCCGGCCATGTATTTTTGTATGTACAGCTGTCAGGCACAAAGTCGGCGTGAGATAAACGCTGTGCTGCTAATATGCCTGGTAGAAATCAGTCATGCATACAGCTAGTGAGATATTGAGTGAGTGAAGCAATTTTTTTCACTCTTTTTTCACAACTCGTTGAACGTTTGTTAGCTCGAATAAGTATTAGTGTGATTGCGTATATGACTAAAGGACGTCAAATTTCGTTGAAAATCACAAGCGACCCAAACACAACAAAAAAATGTAAGCGCAATGGCCGACTATATAGTGTGGTCGTTTGCATAGACTTGCCGCACAAACAACTTTTCACAGAGAATTTGGTTGGCTCTGAGAGGAAAAAATGCCAACTTAGTAAAAAGCTATGAATATTTTTTTTTGAAATTTTCGGCATTCAAAATAGCGGATGCGGTATAACGGAAAGTGATGCGCCAGCTTGTTCGAGAGTATAGCTGAGTGACTGACTAGCTGACTGGTTGTCTATTTGCCGACAAAATCCTAAAGCAATTTGCAAACTGCCAAAAACACCAAACTAATGCACAAACATTCGTTTATTCGTGTTTGCGTTTGTATGTACACGAACAAAGCTACTCAATGGAATGTATAAATGAATGGGCGCACATACATACATATGTGCTAACGTGGATATTGTAGAGACTAGGGCAACAGGCAATAAATAAAAGAAAAGGAAGAAAAAAATGTATTTTTGTTTTTGTTTGTTAGCCATTTAAGTGAACGTAGCGTGTGAATTATCAGTCGTTGACGCAAAAAAGTATGCAACATTTTTTTACGAAAGCTTAACCTCTCCGATTAAAAGTGCGCGGAAGTGTCTGAAAAAATTGCAATGTTTGCAAAAGCCAGAAGTTGTAAAGGCAAAAATACGAAAATGTTAGTTCAAATTGTCGTTGGATTTGAAGTTAACAGAGAAAAAGGCTCAATAATGCAAAACATTGTGAACACATTAGTGTAAAAAATAATTGGTATTCTTTATACACATGTTACTTATTTTTTTAATTTCAATTCTTTATGAAATTAAATTTTTAAATATTTAGTATTATTTATACATTAATTTTTTTAATTGAAATTTTTTTATTCATATTTCAGTATAATTTTTTTTCAAATTTAAATCTTTAGTAAATTAAATTATAAAATATTTAGTTTTATTTATTTATTTTTAATTAACATTTACATGAATACGTTATTATTACTTTTTGTTTTCATTTAAATTTTTTATAAAATTAAACCAAAAAATTATTTAGTAGTAATTTTTTTAATTAAGTAATAAGTATAATAGCATTTTTTATTCAAATTTACATCTTAAATGAAATGAAATTAAACATGTTAAGCATTATTTATTAGTTTTTTATTTTAAAATGTGGTATTAATTTTTTGCATTAATATGATTTTCTTATTTTTTTATTTTAACTCAGTATAAAATTAAATTAAAAAATATTAGGTATTATTTATTAAATATATGTTTTGAAATTAAAAATTTTTAATTCTTTTTTTAAATAATATTTATGTATTACTTTTTATTTTATTTAAATCTGCTATGAAATTAAATTCAAAATAGTTTTTTTTTTTTATATAAAATTTTTTAATAATTTTTCCTTTAAGTATGTATTCTTATATTTGGTTTGTATAAATTCTATATAAAATTAAATTAAAAAATATTCAGTATAGTTTTTAATTATTTATTTGTTAAATTAAAATTTTTTATTTATTATTTATTTTGTAAATTAGTACTTTATTATTAAATATTGTTTTACATTTAAAACTTTTATGGAATTAAATTAAAATAGTTTTAGAATTATTTAAATCTTTTATTGTTATTGTTTAAATGTTCAGTATTATTAATTTTTATTTCAATTAACACTTTTCATTAAATTTTTTGCATTAATATGGTGTTCTTATTTTTTTAAATTTAAATTCTTTATAAAACTAAATTAAAAAATAGTCAGTATTGTTTTTTATTATATTTTTTATTAAAATGCATTTATTATTTTTTTATACTAATACTTTATTATTTTATATTTTTTTACATTTAAATATTTAATGGCATTAAATAAAAAAATGTTTCGTATTAATTATATATTTTGTCATTAGAAATTTTTAAAATAAATTTTATTATTACATTCATATATTTTCATTAAAATATTTAAAAAATTTAGATTTTAAAAAATTTTGTTTAATATTTTTATTATTATTTTTTTTTTGAATTAAACTTTTCTTGTTATTTTTACAAATTAATTTTATTGTTATATTTATTTTGTAAAATTTAAATCGGGTTTAGCCAAGCTTTATGAATTAGTTCCACATAAAAATAAAATAAAATAAAATAAAAAAAAAACTGACAGCTTGTTCTGTCTGTTGTCTTAATAAATACTCTCAAACAGGCAAACACATTTTTTTATTTTTCTAAATACGCTAAACTCTTTTCAAAATGTCCGTCTCTAAAATATTTAAACTTTTTAGAATATTTGTCGATTTTTTGCGCAAACAATAACGGCGTTTTTGTTATTCCACCCTCAATACTTTTAAGGCACAAATAAACGCTTCCGTCGTTGCTGGCGGTTGGCATTATTCCTTTACTTTTCCCAACTCTTTATATTCCCCACTCTCTTTTTTTTACTAAAGCTTCCTCACAAATAATATATCCGTTACGCAAATGCTGACGACCAGGCAAAGCTCAAAGCTGACTACGGAAAGCAATGCAAAGTGGACATTTAGAGAAGACATTTGGGGTCAAGTGCCACACTTGTCTAGCACCTAGTTTCCAGCATTATTCGCCACTTTTCACACGCTCTGACAGCGTTATTTGTAGCGTAAAAATGCGAACGGTTTGTAGATTACAAATGCAAAATATGCAAGGGATGGCAGTTGCAAGAGAGATTAAGGTTGTTGAAAGGAAAATGAAAATATTTCACAAATGAAATATTATTTCTTAGAGATGAAAATATTTTTGATTCAGAAAGGTGACAGTTTTTGGTAATTAAGAATTTTTTTGTGTATTTTAAATTTTAGTTGTTAATATTTCGAGTGGATCTAGTCACGTACGTCTGTCTGTGCGTTTATCTGTACGCGACTTGTCCCTCAGGTTTTAAGATATTAATCCGAAATTTTACACACATCTTATCCTCTCCAATAAGCTGATCATTTATCTATATTGTCGATATCCGACCACTATAACATATAGGTGAGATACAAACTGAACGATCGGAATCAAGTGCTTGTATGGAAGCTCTTTTATTTGTGAAGGATATTATTGTATTAAATCTTTAGTATTTGTGAAGGGTATTGTAGCTTGAGACTTAAACAATTACAGTTACATCTAACAACGATATCATTTTCATAACACAAATAGTACAAAAGGAACATGCGCCTGTGGTTAGGCTACACTTTTTGTATAACTATCTTTTAAACTGTTCTTAAACGTGTCAATTACAGAAATTTAATGAGAATATAATTATCTGTATGCAATAATACATTTTTAATAGCAATTTTATACTTTTGTAACATTTCCGCTGCCGGCGGAAATCACAGTTGTATACTTACTTTTTTGTTCACATGAACTCAAGCAGGCATTTCACGCTGCCAAACACAGCAACTTTTTTTGTGCGCCATTATTCTCTGTCATGAAATACACACACACACATAATAACACTTGCCCCTCCCATAATTTTCTTTCACGCATTCGCTTGCCTGTTCCTGTCAGTGCAATTAACTTAATGTTGCTTTATTTCAATTACAAAAATTTAATGTACTTATGTGATTCAATTTATTTTTGAGCTCATACGCACACATCGACACCCAAGTACACACGCTGGTAGCTGATTGTATAAGCATGTATAAGCATGTATATATGTATGTTATTGTATTATGTTTGTATGTGTATCTCTACTAGAAATGCCACTTTCTTTACCGTTTACCTGCTACTACTGCGCCGCTCTATCTAATAAAAGCGAAACAAATTTCAAATAAAGCCAAATAAACACACATATATGTATGTACTTCTAAGCTTCTAAGTAAATATGTGTGTGTGTGTGTGTAAGTAATCGACACAAAGTATACACTTTCAAGTTGCATTAGTGTGAAGATCTAACTAATCGAGCGGGTGTTGGGTCTTGGGTTAAAATGCCAAACAGCAGGTAATACTATGCACATATATATATTTAATTACACAGCTGAGATCAAACAATTAAATCTATTTGCGTGCGCTGACAAGTGAAGCACCCTCCAATGTACCACTTGCTTTTATTTGTACAAGTAATCGAGGGCGATGAAGGGAAGCAAAAGTAGTAGAAATAAACAAACAAATAAGGTTCGGTAGATAACACATTTTTCTGTAAAAATATAGATTTTTGGCGTTAGCTTTTATGCAGGAAACTCAAAATATAAACGTATTACAAAAATATCGTTTAACACTTAAATTTTTATAAAAAAAATTACAATCACTATCAATAATAAAAATCAAATTTGTTTCTCTTTCAGAACTCCGCTGAGCCCGTCTACTCACCCACCATGGCCGGTGGCTTGTTCTCCATCGATCGTAAATTCTTCGAACGGCTTGGCACGTATGATTCGGGTTTCGATATTTGGGGTGGTGAGAATTTGGAATTGTCTTTCAAAACTTGGATGTGCGGTGGCACGCTAGAGATTATACCATGCTCACATGTCGGGCATATATTCCGCAAGCGATCACCATATAAGGTAAGTGAAGTGAGAGTATGCGCTATGTTAAATGAGAGAGTCGAAGCGCTTCGAGATGGCAAAAGAATATCAGAGCACATAGAGTTGGTGAAACGTGGTTAAAAAAAAAAGTAATGGTTTCTTTTCTTTAACTACAATACGTCTCCCGTGTCGAAAAAGAGAGAGTTACACATCTATTTGCTTAATTCGTTTTCGTTATACAATATTTGCTTATATATATGATCAAATATTTTCACAGCCAAATGTAAAAAAATCTACTATTCAGGCTTTCCATTCCCAAAAAAGCTGAGTCCACTTTTTCGACAAGACCCGCGACTTTTTATTAAGTATATGACCTCTGTCCTGGCTGTATTTCTCAAAATTTTAACTAAAATAACTGCGACTGCTAGAACAACAAAGTTTAGACTTTACATCATCATTTGGCGAGTTCTCTTTATACTCTTTATCTCATAATATGGGGGTGATTTGATATAAATAATTTCAAAAATTCCTTATTCGAATGTTTCTTGCCAAAAGAGAGAATTGATTAAGAAGAATCAATTCTCAAGGCGACCAGTCTTACGTCATCGTAAGTGATTGGGGTTTAAACCGCGCAAGTTTGGATCGGTAAGACGTAAGGTAATATTAACATCTCTGAACCAACATCTAGCAGCAGAGTGTAGTGATCTTAAAAGCTTAGGTACGTTATCATTAGAAGCCTTTGTCTAATTTTCGATTTTATGTCCATGATTCTGTAGATCAGTTTATCATACTCTTTTTTTAGACTTTGACCCCGATTGTTTACTATAAAAACTTCAATTTCACCAAAGTTTGAGTTTCAAATGACAGTATATACCAATTGAGGTCTGATTCTGCACTACACAGCTAGTCTTTAGTTATTAGTTCTGAGTCTTTCAAAACGGTCGAATAGACAAAATAGTTGACTCAAATCTGTCATGTATAACCGTCCAATATAAGGGCTAGCGATAAGCGAAACATACATATTATTTATACGAAGAGAATATAACATAGAATAAGTCCAGCCCATTGTACAAAAATAAAACTCTGTTTATATTTACGTCTCATTAGTAATTAAATATATATTTAGTAGTATATAGTTTACATACTAGTATATATATATGTAAATAAGTCTTAATGTAAGTAGGCATACAAAACACTTGTGCGCATTTAAACCTTCACCCAGAGTGAAATAAAAGCTTACGATGTACCTTACACCATACCATACGCCCACACTTTAGTTGCTACGAGCCCCAAGGATATTGTGCAATAAATAAACAAGCCGCCTGGCCAGCCAAGCGAACCGTTTGTTGTCAATTCCGAAAATAAAAGCGCACAATATGAAGTGCATATGTAAAGGTATATACGATATCACTTGTCCATGAGCCAAGTGTTGACACACCATTTGTTCGGGCAGCGCAGGAAAACCTATATGCTGTTTAACACCTGACGAACAATAAGCAACTCGAATAACAGTGCGAGGTGCATAGCAGGCAAGCGTTTGCTTGGTGAGAATATACATCCGACTACAAATATAAAAACATGTATTGGGGAGAATGAGTTGCGAGTAATGTAAGCAGCACTGCTATTAGTCACATGTGTTGTTACATCAATTACTGTTAGAGCACGTGCTGAAAGCAGTAGTCGAGTACTCGATGGCTAGAGTGAGCGTTCGCATGGCAACCGAAACTTCACAAAGCGAATGCGTTGTATTAGTTACGACGCTGCAGGCGAAATTAAAACGTAACGAGTTGCCATATATTCTGGTTTACGAATTAATTAGAAAAAGTTGGAGAGTGCAGTAGATTACGCTTTTTAATAAAGCATTAGTATATAGATAGCTGTGAAATATAGGTAGAGCTAGAAAATATGAAGTACTTATGTTTCCATTACAGACATACTATAAATTATACTGAAGCTGTGAAGTTTGCTGAAAGAGCTGAAAAATAAACTCACATAAATGGAATACACTTTATGCTTTAGACTTTCCAAAAACGCTCATAGGGCTTCGAATAATTGCTATTGCAGAAATAGGCGCATATCCCTTACTTTTACCTTTTCCAGTAGCACATACAACTTAGTTAGTTCTTCTTAATTCCAAAAGTGTATCTTAACTTTCATTTAGGTTTTCCTTAAAATATTTAGCTATATTGAGGTCAATGATTCTCATGAATTTTGGTCTTAAGATCTTTATCTATCTTACAGATCAACCAAACTCGACGACCATTTTGAGTTTAAGGACTCCGAATTGAAATGATTCCAAATAATCAATCTAACATTTTTTGCTCGAACCAACTTGCCGACTACTTTGAGTTTGTTTTGAGTTTGGCAACTCCGAATTGAAATGAGCTCAACCGTCTTGAAAACAGTGTTTAGTTTAGTTGCACAAATTTTAAAGGTTATGGTATTGTACGATTTCATAAATACAGTTTGTATATCAGTTCCTATCTATCTATACTCTCCAGTTATTTGCGTCATCTTTTCTCGACCGTCTTCTTTGCCAATAATATCGTAAAAATGTATCTTATTCGGAAACTCTTCAACTCAAGTTATAAATCTATGAGTTAGGAAAATTGTTTACCTTGATTGGATATATTTGAGGATCATAAGATAACTGTTATGGAGTTTTTTTTTACGAGCTATTACATTTTTATTTCTCTCTCAGTTTGGTATGCGACGAAGAACTGGGAGGTAACTCTGGCTCCATTTTACTACGTGAACATATTATTTGACTAGGGGTATTCGCAAGGCGTATTTGTTTTCAAGTTGGATAAAAGAACACTAACGGCTATTTGCTCACCAAATACCAGACTCTTTATTGCTAATGGTTATTGAAGCTCAATTTTTCAGCCCGAGGCAGCTACTGTCATGTTGTGTTTTTGCATGAGTCAGAATAAAAAGCGTGATCTTCGGCGACTTTTTTTGTCATACCAAAAATGATTACGAACCTAAACAACCAAAGTTCAGTTGACAGCTTGTATAAAATGTTTTAGTAACTTACAAAGTTAATCTATGAGAGATGTAGTAACGAAGTTAATGAGTCCGCAGACGACTTAGATGGATCTGTAAAGACTCAATTAATCATCTCTACGTTCAAAATTTGCTGAATAGTAGTTGTGGAACGAAGTATCGCTGGTAAAGTACTAAAAGGTATAAAATGTACAAGACTCTTTGGTTAACTCGCTGAGGATCTGATCGACCATAATCTTGCTCAAGGGTAATAAAAGAGCAGAACATATCCCGGGCTATGTTTATTTAGATGAGCTATAGTTGGCTTCTGAGCAATTCTGGGATTATCCAACAAACATTTTTAACTTTCAATAGGGAACTGTGTACCATTTAGAGGCGCCAGGTTAAGCAACCTTTCACCCACTGAGTTACAAAATATATTTCGTGAGCGTCCTTGTTTTAAAATTACAACCACAATAATTACCTTCAATGACATAAAGTCACTTCAGGGGCTTAAAAAAATTCTGCATGATCTCGGTAATGTCGATTACGTCAGCACTGGCTCACAGTGGATTCTCAAGTTTAATCTTCGAACAGGTGGCAACTCTACACATTAGTAGTACATCTAAACAGGTCCCTTATAAACAATGCTTAAACAAAGAAAATTTTCGAATATACCTTCATTTAAGCACAGCATCAACAACAACACAACAAAGGCAAAGCGCAACCAGCCACAACCATGCGCCCGGCTGACGAGCTCAAAGCAACCGATTCTGACACAATGTCTACACACTTTCGGTATAAGCAATTTTTCTTAATTTTCCTTTGCAAGGAGACATGCTCTGCGCTCATGTTTCAGCAATTATCGCTGCTGTGGTTTGCAGCAAGTAAGGACACTCATGTCACTGCTGCTGCCAAGAAAATCGGAAACGCCGATCAACTCTTTGTGAACATTAAGCTGTTGTTATTGCTGACAACATGTACGCATATACAATATGTGCGTGGCTGTATGTGTGTGTTGCTCAAATGAAGTTGCTACGGTGATATAAATAGTGTTTGTGTTAGCTTTAGGGTGAACGACGTTGCTTGTTTTTCAGGTGTTTCCGAAATTATTTGAAAACAAGCAAATTGCTTGTTGACAACAAGCAAATTGCATAGAGACCCCCGGGACCAAGCGTCCAACCATCCGGCGGCAGGTAATTAGTGTTTCAATGACGCTACAGCTGAGACAGTAATGTGGTGTTTTATATATGCATATGTGTGTATGTGTGTGTCTGTATCCTGGCATTGTGTGGTATAAATGAAAATTGGCATCCACTAATGAAACATTCCCGGAATTCAAGCGCTCGAACGTGTTCTCCACCAGCACCCGAGCACATATATACTCAGCATTGGCAATTATACCGTACCGTTACTTTTATGTTGCCTCATACGCGCTCCTTCTGCCTTCTCTTTGTTCAGCTGCAACGTCTTCCTGTTATTTTCAATTAATGCCCTTTTCCACGCAGCTCTGCCTTTAGCCACCCTTTAACTCATTTATACATTCCTTCTGCTGTCTTCTTGTCTATGAATTTACAAAATTTTCAATTGTTTTTCAATTTAATTTTTCCCTTTACAAATTTCATTTTTGCTCATTTCTTATTTCCTTATATTGCAGTGGCGCTCCGGTGTAAATGTGCTGAAGAAGAACTCGGTTCGTTTGGCTGAAGTATGGCTGGATGACTATGCGAAATATTATTACCAGCGCATTGGCCAGGACAAGGGTGACTACGGCGATGTGAGCGCACGGAAAGAACTCAGGTGAGTATGAAACGCGTTTATGAAATGAACAACTCTATTAAAAATAGCTGAGAAAGTAAATTAGAGAAATCAGTTGCTGCCAGTTGACTGCAAAAAAATTTTATGAAAGTCACAAGTACTTTGGACAGGATTGCCCAATGTTCGAGTAATTTTAGAAAAAAAAAACTCAATACAAAAATACATATGTATATCCAGCTAAAGACGTTTAAGAACGATTACAGTTAATAATTATTGCGCTTTTCGGTTTGACACCCGTTTAAAGTTTTTTATTATAATTATTTTTATTTAACACAATTAAATGTTACAATTTGCACACGACAACAAACAGGGCTAAGAAAAATATGAGACGAAAATTTTTAATCAGTGTTGCCATCTGTTCGATGCTAAAAAATTAATACAATAAATACAATGTACGCTATATCACAGTGGCACAATCTAGAAAATTTATAGTTAAAAAGATTTATGTTAAGAAATACGTTTTAAGCAGAGTTGCCACCTTATGATATTTAAAAACAAATTTAGATGATAGTAAGCCCGCATTATTAACAAAATGGAGAATTTTAGAAAACGTATATTGTTACGTATACGTAACATATTTTTTAAAGGGTTGCCACTTAAAACCTGCAAGTTAGTAATAATTTCATTGTTGAAATTAATTAAATACTACAATGCTAATACTAAATAGTCATAAGATTTCTCTCCCAAACATGTTTTTCAGAGTTGCCACCTGTTTAAAATTGTTGGTAAGAAATTGAGCATATAAAGTTCCATTAGACACAAAAGAAGAAGTTTAGAAAGGGTATAATATTATCAAACAAATATTTTTGATAAGAGTTGCCACTTGTTATAACATGTCGTTAAATTTTTTTGTTGAAATAAATTGATAATTTTTGCAATGTGCGCGTAAATATGGGAACGTTAAAAAGATATTGGAGATTCGAGTGGCCACCTGTTTGAAAATTTTGACAATTACATAAGATAAAGTAAAATAATGCGGATATCGAAGTGAATAGGCCCCGAAATATTATTTAATAAGGGTTTTTTAAGAGTTGTGAGAATATATTCAAAACAGAGGTGCTACTTATTTGTTATTAATACATTTATGAGATACAGTAAACTTTTCATTATAAACAAAATAATGAGCAACATGTTTTTGTTTCAAATATTTTATTACTCAAAATTATTTAGATAAACGAGTTATTACAATAAAAGTTTAAGCTAAAGAACTTACAGCGGTTTACTGATGAAAAGGAGTTTGTGAAGAGTTACCGTCTGTTAAAAAAAATATATTCAACCGATTTGATAAAATTAGTTAAAAGTGGTAACTTTATAACTAATGTCAAGTCAATAAAGTCAGCCATATAGGTCCATGAACATTTTGATATTTTTTTGTTGGTTATTATAGGGCCTCGCAGTTCAAGATTATGAACCTGCAACTACTACACTACAAGTTCTGTGACATGGGTTCTGAAGGCTGCAAGATTTTAATTTTGGATTAAGTTAAAGAGTTCTTTAAAACAGCTTCCTGGAAGATAAGTTTTTATGACGGAAAAAAATTTCTTTGTAGAATCTGCTATACCTACAGGCTTACGTAGAGTTGAAGAAACTTGCGTTGCATGTGTTAACTACAAATTTAAAATAAATGTTTCACCTCTGGAAAAACTTTTTCATTCGACTTGTACAAGCAACTTTGTAATTCGCAACATATTTATCAAAACGTTACTATCGGCATAGATATCAGTTTGAAATAATTTTTTTAGTTTAGATGTTAGGTTTTATTTAGCTAATGCATGCTGTCGTTATATAAACAAGCTATGTTAGGGATACCTTTGTAGCTCTTCTGGGAAAGTTTATTAGTTATCCTTACAACAACTTAAGTTTCTGATTATCTTATTTTATTTAGCCTTTCGTAGTAAATTTTTGCAACTGTCAAACAACGATATATTTTAATTTTGATATATTATGATACAAACTTTTATTTAGTAAATATTTTTTAGTTCCGAGAAGCTACATATATAGTCTATATAGAGACTACTCATACCGACACATACATATGTATATATTTTTCTTTAATATATATATATATTCATTTATTCTCTTCCACCACAGACGGAATCTCGGCTGTCAAAGCTTCAAATGGTATCTCGACAATGTCTACCCAGAGTTGTTCATACCTGGCGATTCAGTGGCGAATGGCGAGGTAAGTTGCACGTTCATTGCTAACACACCCCCATGCATACATTGTACATGCCTGAATACTAATCTAAATACTTACGTATATGTCAAAATTTGTAAACGAATAATCTTATAACAAATTTGTATACAACAAAAAGTAATAGACCAATGTATATTACCCACATGTGTATACCCAAAATATATATACAGAATATACATATGTATGTAATTAACCAAAAATTTTAACATGCCAAAAAACCACACAAAAAAATTACAGATAAGAAATCTAGGCGTTGGCGGTCGCACATGCTTGGATTCGCCAGCGGGCAAGCGGAACTTGAAGAAGCCAGTCGGTTTATATCCCTGCCACAGGCAAGGCGGCAATCAGGTTTGTACAGAAGTGCTTTCAACTAAACACACAACAACAACAACAATAGTCGCCAGCAACAAAAAGATTTTGCATGTTTCAGCAGCAATAAGGCAGAAAAAGTATGCGACCGCCACAAGCTCCGTACCACAAACCAAAAACAATAGCAAAAATAGCATAAATATTATGCTTAAATATTTTACTTTATTTATATTTAACGTCTTTCGAGTAATTAATTTATACTTTAAACCACCCCAACTCCCGCTTAGCGTTAATCCTTATAGTATTGTATATTTTCTGTGTTGACCGAAAACTACTAAAATAACAACAAAAAAACAAAAACGAACACTCATTTTGGTTAAAATCTAAAATGGTTATGGGTTTGCCTGCAAATGAAAGTAATGCAACAACAGTAAAAACAATAGCTACCATAATAGGCTTTCGTACTGATCGTTTGCAACCGAACTTCATTGCCAATTTCAGATTGCAAATATTTACACTGATATGTGTCTCGATTCGGCCGCGACTGGAAGCGAAGTGCAATCGGCCGTTGAACCGTATCCTTGTCATGGTCAAGGCGGAAATCAGGTACTTTATTTTACATTGTCCTCCTTACCTCATTCGTTCTGCGCCAACCACCAAACACCCCACCTCACCTTCACTGAAAATAATTTTATTTTGGCTTTTTTAATTTCCAATTTTTTTTTATACTTTTTACCCTTTACCAATGGCGCCTAACTTCCACTATAATATATACCATTATCATCTTATTTATAACTTAAGTTTTAGTAGTTGAAAAAATATACCACTCAGTATGAAAGAAAAGTATGGCCAAATTTTGCCTGCCTCAAACTAAATTCCTCGAATATATCATTCTAAAAATTTGAAATTTTCATATTTGAACCATTTTAGTATTAATTTATCATTTTGGTGTTGGTAAACACGCTTAAAGCGGACGTTGATTTTGTGTTGCGGAATTGGGCTTAGCAAAGATTTGCGTAGGAAAGCTTAAAATATAGCTTGAGCGATTGCAGCTTAATACGAAACAACTACTTTTTTACTGTCTATTCCGCTTTTCGGCTTTGTTTGCAGTTCTTAAGATTTAGAAATATTGAAGTTCCTTACCTCGTAGAATATTACCGACTTTCACACATTACTCGAAAGCTCAATTCTTTTTACTTTCGCAGCAACTCTCTTCTCTTAAATATACATAAAAGCCTACTTAATTTTTGGCGAAAAGCTCCTGAAAGCATCTTCGGCTAAAGCTGTGGTATTACCGAATACTTACGTAGTATCGTAGTAGCACAAGTATTGTATCGATTCGTAGCTAATCTTAGAGATACTATTATAACAGTTTTTTTTAGCGATTTTAGCTGCCTAAAAATTTTCTTCAATATGTTTTGCTCAGAATTACTGCGTCAGATAATAACAAAACATTTTACTTTTTATTTTCATATATTACGATAAGACTTCTAATGTCCTTTGTAATTAAATCTCAATTCTCAGCCCATAAAACCATCTCCCTAATGTGAGCTTTATTTTATAAATACTTTTTGCTATTCCGCACTAAGTTGTAATTGACTGATGTAGTCTAATTAATGACTTTTTTTTGGCATGCCACGATCTCCATTTAAGTATAAAAGCTCACAAGTCACTTTTCAAAAGGTGAAAGCACTAAAGATGCTTTACTATTATATTTGAAAACAAAAATTGTGCAAGTTTTTTTGTAAAAGTTTATCATAAAAATCTATTAAAAGCACAAAATATTCCACAGTTATGCCAAAATTATTGTGCAGCTATTTTGTAGATTTGTATAATTTTTTCATGTAAAGCTTAAAAGCTAATGATTTTATAATAACATTTTTTACATAAATTACTGCTATTCTGTGCGAATTTAATTCTAAACGTACAATTTAAAGCTTTCACTAAAAGCTCAAAAGCATTTCAAATCACTTTCATGGACAAATTTCGCTGTTCAGAGTAACAGATTGCAGGCAGTTTAGTCAAATAAAAAATGTTAAATTCAAAACAAAATTTGATAGAAATTCAGTGGCATAAGAAATTTTTAGTTTTTCAACTTTAGTGAGCTTTAAGCTCAACATCTTAAGGAACAGTTTCTAGTTTCTGAGTTTCATATGAAATAGCATAAATATTTTTTTTCAAGGGAATTAGTAAGTGTATGTGATATTTTCATTAATATTTATGCAGTCTTTGTTGAAAAATTTTCGAATTTTTGTTGTTGCTATAATATATTTTTATTAGAAAAATCCTTTAAATATTTTTTTAAGTCTCGATTGTTATTTAAATATTTCTTTCGTGAAATAAAAAGCTATTTCGTGTAATACCAAAAACATTGAATTCTCCCGACATATTCGTATTTCTAGTTTCAAATATGTACCTACGTACAATACCCGATGATTTAAGTACCGCAAAAACGGGTTTTAATGAAGCAAATCGATCAATTTACCTCAACTATGAAGCTATAAACAGATAAATCAAGTCATTTAGTCAAATTTAAATTTCTTTCACACAGTTATGCTGAAAAAATTTGTCAGTCAGGCGTTTTATTTCAATCCTCAAACCTATTCATATACTACATATATATAATGTACAAAGTATATATTTATATATATCTTTTTTTTGTGAAAGCGTGCTTCAATTTAAATATTAAAAGCAAACATAACTGTGTAGCAAAAACAAAAATTATATATATAGCAAAACACTACGAAAAAGCGGTATGAAAAATTTTTCAAATAAAAGGAAAAACAGAGTAAAATTGCGAAAATATACGCAAGATAAGCTTCAATAAAAACGACGAACCAAAGCATATCCAATCGCATTCTTCTCATTTAATTTTATACACCGGCTTGTAGAAAGCTTCAATTAAAAAAATTTTTTTTTTGTTTCAGTTTTTTTTTATTGTTTGCTCATTTGCATCCGGTTGCAACGCTGGGTAAGCCCATTGATTGCACTCATACTACAACATACCTGTATATAAGTATATATATACAATCTATATATAAATTTATTTAAATTTTTATTATTTATACTTTTCATTTGGTCTTACTTTAGCATAAGCAAACATTTACTTTGAAATAATTGATATTTTTTGGTTGATTTTGGTAAAAAACAGAAACTAATTCACGGAGTTTGTGGCTGCGGCTTAATCATTGACCTTATTGTTAAATTAAGTACATACATACGTACATATGCATTTAATTTCTTTATTGCTGGCATGCTTTAGCATCACATAGCAAAGCATAAATCGGCAATAAAAATACATAAATTTTTATAGAAAACTATTTTTAATCATAATTTTAGTGCGTAAAACGGAATTTAATAAAAATTCATAATTATTCATAATTTTACGCAAAACATAATGGCATAAAAACTGACAATTAATCATACATACATACATACATTAATATACATATAAAACTCTTAAACATGGTGTGAAATTCAAAATGAAAATCATAGTTTCATTAGCGCCTCATTAACCCGTTAATTAACCTAGAAATGGTAATATATGAAAACATTAAAATCCCGTTAGTTTTTGGATGACAAAAAACAATAATATATTAAGCCAAAAAATGTTTTAATATAACAAAATTAACATAAATTAAAACTCATTTTATACAGAAATATTTGAAGTGCTTATTTCAACTATTAGGAAAAATTAATCAAAAAAATCATAAAAACAAGAAAAAACGTTGCACCGAAGCTATAATACCCATAACAAATACAAATAATTCCAATATTCCGAACAAGAATTTTCATCGTTCAGTTTGTATGTCTGCTATATGCTAGAGCACTCCGATCTAAATAATTCGGAGAATGCATCGTTGCACTAGACAATAATCCATCCAAATTTTGTGCAGATATCTCTTCAAAAAAGAAAGCTTTCCATACAATAACTTGATTTTGAGGGATCAGTTTGTATGTTCCGACAAATGAGCAGCTTCTTGGCGAGAAAAGGATGTGTGAAACGGATGCAGAGACAGACGGGCATGGCTAAATTGACTCAGCTCGTGATGCTGACCCTATATATTTTATAGGGTCCCAGCGTTTCCTTCTGGGTGTTACAAGCTTCGTGGCAAACTTAATATATATATATATATATTAATGCACTGATAATATCATAATAATAGTAATTCAAATTTAATTTAATATAATTTTAAAAATAATTAAACAAAATCAATAAAAAGAATATCAAAAAATTCAGATTGCAACAGAAGAAAAAAAGACTATGTAATAAAACAAAAATATACAATATAACAGTTTTTTAAACGTGTATTTTAAAGATATTATAATAATATATATTAAGTTTGAAAAAAAAATTCGCACTCCATTTAATGTGTATACAATTCTCTTCGCTTCGAAAGAAATACAATTTATCACAGTTCTTTAAAAATGTATAAATATGCGCAATTGTACATTTATTCAGCTCAACTTTTTATTAATTTCTCCATACGCGACAAAATGTCATTAAAAAATGCTTTTAAAAAGTATAAACATAAAACTTTTTTATTAAAAGAAAAATGCAAACGAAGCGACGTCAATATATTATTACATATGCGCCGAAAACTAGGCAATATACATATGTATATATAATATTTTTTTTAATTACCATTTATTAATATTGTAAAATATTTCACACTTCCTATCAGTACATTTTCATAGTGCCAAAATTAGCGACGCTGCGCATAAAAACTGCAATAAATTGAATAAATATATGCACATGCTATGCGCCTAAATGTATGCATGTAAAAGTTTTTGTGTGACAAAGGTATAAAAACTTGCTGCAAATATATTTAGCAGACTACTTTTGAAAGTATTTGCATATTTTGGCATTGTCAAAGTGTTGTCAATTTAAAAAAAAATATAAATAAATATTTAATTATATTTCCGTTGTATTTTGACATTTTAGAAAGGCATGTAGAAAATATGATTAAATTTTCATTTATATATGTACATGTATGTATATTAAAAATGTGATACATATATTCGCCTTTATAAAATATTCGAAAAAAATGTGTTTCAAGAGATATAAGTGAGCGCAAATTAATCGAAAACTGTGCGGGAAGTTTCAAAGCACAGCATATCATTTTCTAATTTTGATTTATAATGATCAAAGGCTTCTGAAATTATTTTCTAAAGAATTTGAATGAAATATATGAAATTAATACTTGATATTTAAAACACTAAACATTTTCCGGCTGACATATCAAGACTCAACCAAATGTTTTTATAGCAGTTTTAGTTAGCACTAAAATTTTTATAAAAGTTCGACTAGTCGCAAAGAAAAACACAAACAAAAATATTGTTTAAATTTTAAATTATAAAAAATTAAATTTTTTTTAGCGCATAAAAGTATGCTATGGTATTTTTTTAAACAATTATTTCATTCATTAAACCACAAAAAAGGTAAAAGCCAATAAAATACATATTTATAGCACATAAAAACTAAAATGATTAAAAATAAACAAAAAACAAGAAAAAACGTTAACTTCGGTTGCGCCGAAGCTATAATACCCTTCACAAAAACAAAGGCCCCTTACAAGAACTTGATTCCGAACGTTCAATTTGTATGACAGCTATATGATATAGTGATCTGATCTGACCAATTTCTGTGGAGAATAATTTGTTGCCTTAAGCAATAACTCGTGCCTAATTTCGTGAAGATGTCTCGTCAAATAAAAAAATGTTCCATGCAAGCACTTCATTCCGATTGTTCAGTTTGTATGGCAGCTATATGCTATAGTCATCCGATCTGAATAATTTCTTCGGAGATTACATTGTTGCCTTAACTCATAATCTGTGCCAAATTTCGTGAAGATATCTCGTCAAATGAAAGAGTTTTCCATACAAGCACCTGATTCCGATTGTTCAGTTTGTATGGCAGCTATATGCTATAGTGAACCGATATCGGCGGTTCCGACAAATGAGCAGCTTCTTTGTGAGAAAAGTACAGGTGCAAAATTTCAGATCGATATCTCAAAAACTGAGGGACTAGTTCGCGTATATACAGACGGACGGACAGACGGACGGACAGACAGACGGACATGGCTAAATCAACTCAGCTCGTCACGGTGATCATTTATATATATACTTTATATGGTCTCCGACGTTTCCTTCTGGGTGTTACAAACTTCGTGGCAAAATTAATATACCCTGTTCAGGGATAATAAGAAAAGACGTTAACTTCGCTTGCATCGAAGCTATAATACCCTTTAAAAATGCAAAAAAACTCTTAGAAGAAATTGTTTTTGATCGTTCAGTTTGTTTGGCAGCTATATGCTCTAGTGATTCGAACTGAACAATTTCTTCGAAGATTGTACCGTTACCTTGGATAATAATCCATGCCAAATTTTTCGTAAATAAAAAAGTTTCCCATACAAGGATTTGATTCCGATCGCTCAGTTTGTATGGCAGCTATATGCTATAATGGTGCGATATCGGCGGTTTCGACATATGAGCAGCTTTTTGAAGAGAGAAAGACGTTTACAAAATTTCAGACCGATATCTCAAAAACTGAGGTACTAGTTCGCATATATACAGACAGATGGACAGACATACAGTCATAGCTAATTCGACTCAGCTCGCCATGCTGATAATTTATAATATACTTACATTTTTTATAGGGTTCCGATGCTTTCTTCCGGAAGTTACAAACTAACTCTATTCAGGGTATAATTAAATTGCGTGTACCACAGAATATATAATACATGCATATAATCAACTCAACGCAGCAAGTGTAAAATATGAAGACACTTCTTAAGCATTTCAATTAAATGTCAACATAATAATTGCAATTTCATTAACAGTTCGCGTGATAAAAGAAAGAAAATGACAAAAAAAACAATAACTGTGTATATTTCCCACTTAACTGCAACAATTACATTCATATGCTCATTATGTTTGCTTCATATTGAAATGGAATATTCATACGTACATTTATTCATACACATGATAATTTTGAAATAAGACTCCAGCACATTGCTGCCGCAAATTGCGATTGCTGGATTAATGAAGAAAGCCTTAGCAACCGACCGCGCTGTTATTTTAATCATACGATAAAGTAGAAGGAACCTTGTAGTGAAATCAAGTATGGACTTTAAGTCCTACTAGTTAATCAACTGTCCTTTTTTACATTACAAGCAACTGGTAATTTTTGCGTGAGGTCATCTGGGATAGATGATTAAAATTACACCAGTTTTAGACTACTTCAAAATATAACTGAAGAAATATAGTTTAATCTGAATATAATTATACCAGTTTATACCACTAAAATACAACTGATTAAATCGAGTTTAAAATTACTAAAATTATACCAGTTTCAAACTACTATTAATGACTGCTGAATGGCTTGAAAACTGATACATATTTTAATAACCTTAATTTACAATATATTTTGATATAGAAAAAACTTAGTTTTTTATTACACCAGTTGTTGTCCGATTCGCCACTCGGCAAAGTTTAGAGAGTGGTATAACCATATTAAATAAATGTATCCTAAATTAGACCAGTATGTGTGATTTATACCAGTTGCCTCTCGATTCGCCCTTCCACAAAGTTTAGCGAGTAGTACACCTACTACAAATCTAGTTCTATTAAATTATACCACCTCTTAATTTTATACCAGTTGTCATTTGAACGAATCTAAAAGTCTCCAAAATTTATCGAGTGATAGAACTATCTGCTAATCTAGCTCTATATTATTATACCAGTTCCTGTGATTTATACCAGTTGCGTTTTGACTTGCCTCCAAAATCTAGCGAGTGTTATAACCAACTGCAAATCTAGCTCCTTGTTATTACACCAATTTATACCATTTGGACCAAGTTTTTTTCGATTCGACCTTTTACAAAGTTTGCCGAATCAAATAAACTTTTATTACTGGTATAATCATATTCTTGTTTAATTCTTCGATTTCAGTCAGGAATTATGAAACTTATCAAGTAGTGTTTTTCCCGACTGGTATAATGCTTCACTGCAGAGAGAAATGAAGTACACACGCACATGACTACAAACTCATCATCAACACACTCACACCCAAACAATGCCACATAGTATTTAATTTTTATTATTTTTATTATTTTCTCTTATTTATCATTCATGCATTTCATGGTTTTTCCATTTGCCATATCTTATTTGGTTTTTTTTTCTCATTTCTTGTACATAAATAATTTTGCTTTAATTCATTTTTTATTTCGTTTCCTTCCGTTTGCGCCATTTTTATTATTTTACTCACGCATTCCGTTTGCGCTATTTTTTTTTAATCGTTTTTGTTCTTGTATTACAACTCCACTAACGAAATAAATTCAATATTTTATTTTACAACAACTTTGCCCCTTGGGATGTGCCTGGCATATACACGTGCCCAACACAACTGCATTTGCCGAACCACCGCTGTGGCTGACATTAATGTTGAATGAATACCGTTACGACAACGTTACTCGTGTGTACATCTGTATCCGTGTGTATTTATGCCGTTGTTCAACCGACCAATCAACTAAACCACAACCAACGTATGCTCTGTGGCCGCCGTTCATAACGAAACACGCACACGCGCTAATGCTCGATAACATACTCGTGCGTCCACCGTTATATTCATGTACCGCTGCAGTATTGGATGCTGAGCAAAGGCGGTGAAATACGACGCGATGAGGCCTGTCTCGATTATGCTGGCAACGATGTGGTTCTGTATCCATGTCACGGCTCCAAAGGAAATCAGGTAAGCCTCAAATGGTTTATGAATAGTCGCAAACCGTTAGGGAGAGCTCATGTGAGGATAAGGCACATAAACTTGAAAATGATATATGTTTGCATGTGTGGTGTAGAAGAATGTTGTAATAGGTTTCTTCTGAAGACATCTAGTTTGATTGATTGCATAATTTGGTAAACAATATCGTATTTAAGATATAAAACTAAAAAAAATTCTAGCACATACTAGTATGTGGCAAGCTTTTTTGAGAGCTTTTCGTTTATTAAAGCACACAGAAATATAAAAAAGATTTCCTAAATTCTTTAGAAGAGTATAGACATTGTATAAATTCAGCCTGATAGTTTGGGAATCCATACAGTGAAACCACAAAATTTCTGGGAAACCTCTATAGAAAGGTACACGTTTTGGAAAAGTAAGACGGACAAGTGGATCTGTGTGAAACTCTAGACTACTAAATTAGAATCAAAAACTTTGGATATTTTTTTGCATTTTTTATGCATCCTGGTATTATTTGAAAATTCCTATTTCAGTTGCTCAGGAACAATATGTGCTTCCCAAATCCTTCTTACTCTCTGATTTGAAATGAGCAGCCCTTTTATGTCAAACTTTATGGTGAAAGCAGCATTTAAAACAAAGATTCTAATGAATATGTATCTTATATTCTAAGGAAATGTTTTAAAAGCTATAAAATTTTTATGGTATTCCTAACCGAAATAGATTATAAGCTTTTACCAAGGCGGTCTTCAGCGTTACGAAAGCATCGTTTTGAGTAATTATTTATAAATCTTGATATAATTATATACCGTATTTTGAAATAAGTGACTCAACTGCTCTGTTAAGATGTTAAATATACTTGCAAGTCAGAACAAATGCGTTTTTTTTTCAAAGAAACGGTTACCCAAAAAAAGTCGATTTTCGTGGAAAATTTACATTTCAGTGAGGCTTAAAAAAATCGAAATTAAGGTCAGAAAGCTTATTCCTGCGATTTTAACCCGATTAATATACAAGTATTTAGGAAGTTCGTGTGAAAATTTCAATTCGATCGGTTCAGCCGTATTCAAAATTATAACAACGAATACTAGAAAAATATAGCAAAATATTATATTCTGTACTAGAAATTTCTAAGCCTGTCGCCCATGAATTAAGCGTTCGAAACAGCTTATAAAAATACCTTCAAAATATATCCCTTTTAAGGTATTATAAAATAACTTCACAAACACTATTTTAATTCCGTGAACGAAAATTTTTTAGACCTATATCGGCTCATGGTAACTTTCCAGCAGAACAATGTTTATTTAGGGCACAAATGGAAGCAAATATGTTGAAAAATTCGAATGAGGTTTGAAATCTCTTTATATATATTCCATTTTGCTTTGTTCGTACCTAGAGTCCAATAGGTCGTCCAAAGGTTGGGTGGTCGATCCATAAGTTCTGCTGAGAGTTTCTGCTATCATTATAATACTAAGACAACGCATGTTAATCACAATATTGTTGTAGTTCGCACGTATTTTCAATTTATATACAGCAAAACTGCTCTTTAAGCTATGCAATAATTATTCCATTGTAATTTGAAGCATTGTGCACGCCTTGAAGTATGCAACAATTTTATGTTGCCTTCTAAAAGCATTTTTGGACGTTTTGGCTGTATGGATATAGGTCTTATACCGGGTGATAACCATACCATCGATAGTTAATAACTATAAAATTCTTGTTTAGTTATTTTTTTATCACTTGCAAAGGTAAAATATTTTCAATTAGTCTCAAGGACACCATTTAAAGAATAAAAAATCGTTAAAAAACAAATTAATTTAATTTTTTTACTTTACTGCGTTTTTATATATTATATATATATATATATTATAACATATATTTGCAATACTTTTAACACCTTTAACCATGTTTTTCTCAACACCTCCCAACCACTCGCCATCGGCTCTCTCACAATGTAGTTCTGGAAGTATAATCAGCAGAAGCGTCAAATACGACACGGTTCATCAGACAAGTGTCTGGCCATATCGGAGAAGAAGGACAAAGTGGTCATGGAAGAGTGTGATTCGAATCAATTGCGACAACAATGGAAGCTCGAAAATTACGATCCATCGAAATTGTGAGGTTACTTTTATGCCAACGGCACAGTTTTATTGCCGACGCACAAGCGACGAAAATAGCATAAATTACGCACAGGAAATGCACAGCAACAACAACAAACGAAACAGAAGCACAATCAACAAAAACAACAACAACAACAGCAACACGTATATATAGAACATAAAGCGTCACAACAAATGAGATACGGAAGTGGCGGACAACGACATCAACAACAGCAGCAGCGACATAAATTGCAGCAAGCAACTGAATTGCAACAACTGGCGAGAGAACGCTTCAAGCAACAGCGACACCAGCAACAAAAAGAACAACAAAAATACAAGCAAAAACAAGCCGTTATAACAGCTCAAGTACAATATGGTCACAATTATCCGTGGCTGTAATGTAAAGCTGCACTCATACACACACAGACACACCCAAATATACATAAATAGTGCAGCGCACAGTCAATCATACGCCGTGGCCAACATTCGAGTTTAATATGTAAATATTACATAAATTTGTAACCATATGTACTCACAGTTGCTTGTACTCAGGCTGTTTTCGAGCATTTCCAGGTAGCAGGATGTTGTAGCAGAAGTACTTACACACATACACACACACAAATACAATCCTATAATCATTAAGCTTCCGTTCGTGTTGAAAAATATATAACTATACACATACATATACGAATACACACACATTTGTGCATTTATGCAAACCAACTTAAATTGCAAAAACAAAGGATGACTGTTGTACAGTAGCATTAAGTGTAAAGTAAGACCTAAGTAGGAAATAAATAATAAGCAAAAAACATGTTGTAATATAAAAAAGTTGAAATTTAATAAAAATAAAAAATATCATGCGATAAACATATTTATAATGCAGTGTATGTAATGAAAAATAATTAAGTGCAGAGTTCAAGATATACTAAAGTACATATATAAATATACATATGATAAAGTAGTTAATACTTATTTTGTAAACGTGCATATGAAGTCAAAATACTTTTGGAATTTAATTAGTAATAAAATTATTTAATGTTAAGCAATCAAGACTTAGTCAAATGTAGTAAAACGAAACTTAAGTATTAAGTTGGTAACGCTGCATTTAAAAAATATATCAAATTGTATAGGCTAAAGAACTTTTTTAAAAAAATTTGAACAAACACAAAAAAAATGTTGTAAAAATAATTTTTGTGTGGATGTGTGTACGGATTGGTGAATGCTGTAATTTTTTTTAAGTTTAAATTTAACTAATTTTCAAATTTCACAAAAATTCAAAATCAACAAAATAATTTTTAATATATTTTTTTTAAAATTAATAGTTTATAAAATATAATTTTTTAATTATTTTATTTGAAAAAATTGTATTTAATTTATCACTGCTTCAATTTTTTACAATTTAAAATGAAATTAATTTTAATATTTCATTAAATTTTTTACTAAATTCTGTTTGATATTTTAATTAATACAACTAATTTATGAAAAATCATTTTCTAATAATTTAGCTGAAAAACGTAAATTAAAATAAATAAATATAATTAATTCATTATTTTGAATATTTTTAAAACTTTTTCAAATTTCAACAACTGAAAATTAACAAAATTTTGTTCTAGTTTTTTAATGCAAAAATCGATTTATTTATATTTAAACTCTTAATTTATATTTTTTACATTTTTTTTTTTGATATTAAAATTAATTTCTTTTCAAGTTTTAAAAAAATTTAATTTTAAACTAAACACAATAAATAATAAGAAAAGCGTAATTTTGTGAAAAGATAAAATGTGCAACGAAATTAAATATTAAAAAAAATTTAATAGACTTTTGCTTACTTTTCTTTTTAATTTTTTCTTTGAAATTTTACTACTAAATTCTATTACACAAAAATACAGCGTTTACCAAACTGACAAAATGTCAGTTTATCTGCGAGGTTAGTGATAAAAGGAAGTTAAAACATTCCTGTACTGAAAAGCGTAAAATAAAAAAAAAACATAAAACACAAAAGTATCCTACGTAAAAAAAAATAAAAATATTGTAGTTCGACCATTAGTTATTTGAGACAAGTTACAGTTTTTTTTATAATAAGTGGACCAACAAAATTTTGAAAACATTTCTTTACAGTAAGTTCATCAAGTAAATATATTAAAAATAATCTTTAAATTTATGCATAATCTTTGATTATTATTTTCACTTCTTTTTATTCTAGCATTTGTAAAATATTTTTTTTATACACAATCGAAAAATTTTATATTTGATATTTTATTTATTTATTTTAGTAAAATTTATTATAATATTTTTTTTTACTAAAAATAATATTAGTTGTTTTAATTAAAAATTATTATTTTTTTTATTTGACGTAAAAAGAAATTCATTGTTTTAATTAAAAATAATTTTTTTTTAATTTTGCTAAATATTAAATTAATTTCTTTTTCTATTAAAATAATTTGTTTTTTATGTTACCATGAAGTAAATAAATTGTTTTATTAAAAATTAATTAGTTAGTTTAATTTTACTAAATACAAAAAAAAAAATTTTTATTTAAAACTTCTCTAATTTTAAAAACTCAACTTAAATTAAGTAATGATAATTTATAATTTCCATAAATTTATTATATTTTAATTTTCATATGCCCATTTATACTTTTTCTTAACTTTTATGGAATTTCTTTAAAATCAGTTTCTCTCTTGCTTACCTTAAATAAAGTATAATAAATTCTAATTGTAATAAATTCTAGTTTTATTTAATTATTGTTTTTAATTAATAAAATCATAATTTGTATGTGCAATTACTTAAAGCAAACCAATTTGTTATATATAATATCATAAAATTTGTATATAATCTTGCCAAATTTAGTTTATTAAAAAAAAATAAACGAAAAGAAACTTCAAATTATTGTTTTATCAAATATTTAATTAAGTTTATAATAAAAAAAATGATATTCATGCACAAAAAAAATGTATTTCATTATTACCTTTTTTGTTTTATTGTTTTTTTTTTTATTATTGGTTTTATTTTTATTGATTTTTTTTTGGTTGTTTTTTTTCTTTATACTGTAAGCCGCGCGAGTTATATTTATTGTCGCACTGTCTTAATTATTTCTCAATTATGGAATGGTTAGTCTACAGATTTATTCGAAAAGTGATTCGGTTGAACAAATGTTATAATAATATCGCTCATATGAATTTTATACAAAATCACAGAAATGTTTACTGTAAAATTTGTAAACTGATAATTTTATACCGTTTACATGTAATAAACATATCGGTGAAAATATATACATATGCAGGTTTTTGTCCAAATTAAAATTATTTCGTTAAATATCAGTATTAATCAATTTGAAGATATATTACAAAAAAAAAACGAATTATCATATCACTTCGGCAAATTTTTAAATGTAAGATCAGTGATCTTCAAAGTTAAAAGTAAGTTAATTGAAAGTTAAGCGAATTAATTGTCTCTCTATGTTTGTTATATTGTATTGCCTACATTTTGGCGCGCTGATTTAAAAGTATGCTTGGTAGTGAAGGAGTATATGCTATATGTTCGAAAACGGTAAAAGGTATAAGATAATTAAAGAATTTTTAATGTTCTAAGGCATCTTTGGACGGAAATCCATTGCGTTAATTAGGCGTGTAGGCTGCTACGCCAAAAAATATGTTAAAAAGATATTAAAAAAAATTTTTTTTTTAATTTTTTAACAGTTTTCTGCCGCAAATAAATCGTAACAAAGTGTATTTATGATTTTTATAATTTTTTAGTGCAAAAAACCAACAACAAAAGCTGTATTACAGACAAAATCAACTTTTTTAAACAAAACTACTGCAACATAAATTAGAAATTTATACTTTTCCAAATGCTAATTAAGAGCGATATGAAAAAATCTAAATAAATAAATCATAGTACAGACATAAGCATCAGTTTTCAATAAATTAATTGTTTAGTTTGTCAACTAATGTAAATAACTGCATATTTTATTTGTGTTTTCTAAACAAACTACATATTTACTTTAACTAAAATTTAATATAAAGTATGCGAAATTGAAAATGTGCCTTCTAATTATACGAAAAGCTATTAGTTAATAAAAATTTCGTACTCAACAACAACACAGCAAACATCATTAACTCATATGTATGATGTCTAAGATACAAACAAATAGTTTTGAAACTGATATATAGAAATAGATATAGCTTACACATGCATACATACTAACATATACATATATATATTGTAAATAAAATTGCGCTTAATTTAACAGCATTGCATGCAGGCATATTGTACACAAATACATATAATTATCAGCATAAATATATGTTAGGACGTCTGTTATGTCACAAGTTGACTGTGCAAAACTGTTTGCAAAACGCCCACTGAAGTTTAAATTTTTGCGCTAAAACAAGGATTCAACATAAACAAGCTGTTTATTTGAAATCAATTATTTAGTACTTTACATGGCGTTTTTTTAACTTTTGCAATAAATCTCCGAAAGCAATTTGTTTATAACTTTATAAAATTGATATGCTAATAAAGAATTTGCCGCTCTACAAAAAAGATCTTAATGAATTTTTTCATAAAATCATTGCTTTAAAAGTTATGAGCAGTTAAAAATATGTATCAAATGTACTGTATGTTATTCATATAGGTAGTACACCATGTCGTATGAGCAACGAAGTAGGTATAAATTACTTGTATGAATGTTCAGATCATTTGATGTATAGTATATGCTTATAATATATAAGTTATATGCAGTTATAACTTTTAAAGCAATAATTTTAGGAAAAAAATATATAGACCTTCGTATTAGCATATAATTTTTTTAAGTACTAGATTTACTTGCCTCACGTAAGTCATCAAAAAATCCAATGTTATATATACATGTTATGAATGGGTAAAGAAATATGATTTAGACACGGTTTAAATTGAAAATTAAGCGCTTGCTTACGTTGGATTTTGTTTTAAGGCAAAACAACAAACAATTTGGGAAATAACGGCCACCCTCGATATATACATACACACATGCATGCAAATACACATTTGTAGCTATGCAAACGCATAAACTGCAATTGCAATACTAACTAACACTGCGCTGCTAACTAGGTTCGGTTAGCACTAAGTCAATAAGTAATCTAACAAATTTAGCAATGTTTATATGAAAAATTCTGCCTGTCAGCATTGCAAATTATTGCCACTTCGTCAGTTAGTTGTAAACATATCGAATTTTTTTCACAGCAGTCAAACATGTAAAAACTCACACATAAATATATTTGGCTACAAAAAATGTTCAAAACAAAAACAAAAAAGTGTTTGCATTGAATCATAGATTTTAAATTTATTTTGTTTGCAAAATAGAAGACATACGGACATATGTAAGCAAGCACACTCATAACTAAAAGTACACAATAAATATTTTAAATTGGAGATGAGTGCAATAAATTATGTTTACAATTATTTTTGTTATTTTTTTTTTTGATTTTTTTTTCTTGCAACCACACTTCAAACATTTTTATTTAAAACTTTTTTCTTCACTCCACAACTTTACTTTTAGATATTCACTTATTTTGTACAATATGATAAAAACGTAGTTTTAATGCGTCGTAGCATACTTTTAGGGTAAACATATCGAAAATATAATAAAATATTATATGAAACATAATTTAATAAAAACAAAGAGTCGTAAAATGGTATTTTAATTAAGTTAATGCATAGTCATTACCACTGTTTGTGATATTAGGTAAACGGAAAGCAATAAACGAGAAGCGGCGTTTCAACTACTCGACCATCTGGACAATTCAAAAGATGCAAGTGCACAATTATTACGCAGTGTCTAACGAAAACATGTCCGAACAGGTTACCCACCCGTAATTAGTCGCCTAGAGCTAAAAGTCAGCTGCAAAAGTTCCAGTAGTTGTTTGAAAAGTGAAGGAGCCGGCAATGCTCGTAAGTATATATGTGAAAAGCACTGCCAAGAAACTAAATTCGCAACAGATTTCTAAAACCTACCAGCAATGTCTTTAGGTATGCCATTTAGCAACTCGAAATGATCCAAAGGCCTCTATTCTTTCAAATTATGGCAGTTATTTGCACTCCATCCGTTAATAACTGGATCATAACTGGAACATAACTGACTATGCGTTATACCTAAATAAACCCACTCCTTAATGCCTAACAGTACTCGCTTTCCCAGTTTGAAGCATTCTTAACATCTATAATATCGATGCTGACATCATATTGTAGTTCAGTATTTGGAAGTTCTTCAAAAACGCTGTGTCTGTGATGCTTTCGTTGTTTGAATTATGCCTGCTTATCTTAGATTAAAGATTTCGGACTACAATTAGTGGCGCTGTTCCACACTCATTAAGCGACTCAAGCAGACTCCTCCCAATTTTAGTGACTTTTGTATACATTTAATATTATTTATTTTATCAAAATCGGCATTAAAGTTTGAAAGTAAATGTAGACGGCACTTAATTTCTATCGGGCCTTTTCGGCTGTTTTAACTTTAAGTCATACTATAAATAATACCGAGTAAGTTCTTTGTCGGTAGATTTCAATTACATCGAGTGCTTGATATTATATATTAGGGATCCGGCGTCAATATTATATTTTTCGGTATCGTCGTCTCTCAGCTGACTCCATATGTCATATACTTTACACAGTAAATAAAACTCATTCTTTCTATTTTAAAATTTCGGTTTAGAGACCAGAAACAGCACATGATATGTATGCGCCCTTAGCGCACTTTGGTTACAACGTTCTTAACATAGATCTGCCAGCTGTCAAGATTGCACAACATAACCTCAATAATTGAGTTAATAGTTGGTTTTATGCTCATAATTCGTATTATCCTACATATACTTCTTGACAGAGTTCCAAACAAATGTTGAACAAACAAAGATAAATATTTCCTTTTATATGTATTTGCATATATATTTTTTTACATCGGTTTATCAAATTTCTCTAACAACCATTTCTGTTGCATATTGTCCGTGTCACATTTATCCATAAGTAAATCTTCTCTATTCGTTGATACTGCCAAACACAACTTCGAGATGACATGTCTTAAGAAACGATTTAATGTGTCGTACGTCCAATACTGTAAAATTAAAAATAAAACAATTAAAAAATAATAATATTGTTGTTGTTGCTGGCAACTTTAAATATTATGCATACCTGATTTCCTTTTTTGCCATGACAGTTATATATTATCAAAAAATTACCGGAATAATCCAAACAATAATCACCGTGACGTATCTCACCAGCATAGCTCATAAACCAGTGCTTTTTCGAACACAAGAAATTATAAAAATTTGGTTTTTTTTTTATTTAAAAAAAAATTAAAACCTGCTTATTTTACCTGATTTCCTTCTTTTCCATGACATGGCCATAGACCAACTGGTAGTCCTGACATTGCTCGGCCATTCACATCTAAGCATTTATTACCGCCAGCGCCTAGATTTCTTATCTAAATATCTGAAAGCTATTTTCAAAAGTTAGTGTTTTGAATGCAGCAAATTCTCACCTCTCCAGCAGAAAGCGGATCTTTGGGTATTTCAAGTTCTGGATATATATTTTGCATATACCATTTAAAGCTTTCGCAATTCAGCCTTTTCCTTTAAGATAAAATATACATTAATCAGATACAAAAAGAAAAAAAAACAAAAAACAAGAAGCTAAAATACCCTTCACAAATACAAAATATTTCTTACAGGAATTTAATTTTTAACGGTTAGTTTGTATGGCAGCAATTTGTTATAGTGATCCGATTTGAATAATTTCTTCGGAAATTACACCATTGATTTAGCCAATAATACATGCCAAATTTCGATTAGATTAGAATTCACGTCAAATGAAAAAGTCTTCCTTACAAGCGGTAGATTCCGATCGTTTACTTAGTACGGCAGCTATACGCTATAATAGTCCGATATCGGCCATTCCGACAACTGAGCAGCCGCTTGCTTAGAAAATAAAGGACGCAAAATTTCAGGTCGATATCTCAAACACTAAAGGACTAGTTTGGGTATATACAGACAAACAGACGGACATGGCTAAATCAACTCAGCTCATCAGTTATATTTATATTTTATAGGAACTCCGACTTTTCCTTCGGGCTCTTACAAACTTTGTGACAAAATTAATATACCCTGTTCAGAGTATAAAAAGATATCTAAACGAGCTGGGGCGGTAAGAACGTTCGAGTCATTGACGAATAGATTACGAAAGACAAGAAATCGTTCGTTCTAAATTCTCGTCTAACAACAAAGGTCAAATGATCTACAAAATATGCGCAATTGAACTATACACATGGCTTGAAACTGTTTAAAGAAGTTCGGGTAGATTTGAGCAACTTTTTCGAAAAACTCTTTTGAAAGATTTCGCGAAAGTATTATGCTGTAAAAGATATTAGAAAAAATGGCAGCATTTTTCACAAACTAAGATTTAGATATGGATTAATCAGAAACACTGAAATTATTACAGCTAAGAGATCACTTTACTTTATTTCAGAACTCTTCAAAATCTAAGGAGTTCACTGTAGAAGGTTTGGCATTCAGCGATAATGGATACCAGAAACGTAACCTATGGTAATTGCCTTTTTTGTTTATTTTAAGAAAGAACAGTATTTCTCGTGATCTAACAGTATTTGTACAAAAACGGCTTGAATGATAAGCTTGATCCAACAACAGTTCCTACACAACTGAATGATGTATGGAGACTTAGTCAAATTTTGAGCCTACTTACCGCAGTGCAATTTGCGTTTCTACATTCCCGTAATCACCCTTGTCAAAATGTATCTTGTGATAAAAATATTTGGCGTAGTTATCCATCCAAACTTCAGCTAAACGCACAGAGTTTCTGTGTTTTACAGCGCTCACCTGTTAATTTCATGGAAAGTTGTAATTCCTTTAGTTAAGCCGCGGTATTTCTTTGCTAACATCATATACGGTATATTACATTATATGGAGATGTTAGTCGAAAGATGTGTCCAACGTGAGAGCAGGGTATCATCTCCAAACGACCATCACACATCCAAGTTTTAAACGATAATTCCAAATTCTCAGCACCCCAAATGAGAAAGCCAGTGTCATAAGTGCCGAGATGCTCGAAAAATACACGACTAATTGAGAATAGACCGCCAGGCATTGTGGGCGAATACACAGGCTCCATGGTGTGCTGTGCAAGTTAAATTTCATTAAAAGCGAGTTCAGCTCAAACTTTTCACACTCACATTTCTACGCTCGAGCTCACGCTTGGGTATTGAAATCCAGGTGAATGCTAAAGTCCAATCGAAACCGCCAATAAGCGTATCATCTACATTCGTATACTCGAATGTCATGTGATCGATGTTCGCAATATTTGGATAGACGACTGTGGTGTAATTGCGCGCTATGCGATCCAGTAGCGGTTCCAGCCAGCCTTAAAGGAAATAAATAGCGCGCGTTGATTACCATTATGGCATAAATCTAGTTGTGCATGTACCCTCGCCGCACTCGCAATGCGAATCGAGAAACGTCAAAACCGGCGCCGTCGCATATCGTGCGCCCATCAGTCGCGCTCGTATTAAACCTTGACGTTTTGGCGCGCGTATTATGCGTACCTTTGTATACCTCTGTAAGTAATTGTCGAGCTGTTCTTTAGTATGCGCTGCAAAACGTAAGTTTACCGCATTATAATTGGTTAAAGTTTGTTATGCGTTCCAATTTAGAGTGTACACAGAGTGCAGCGCTGCAGGTCTTACCCATGTCTGAGAAATCGTCGACCAAGATGATATTTTTAATCAACTTTTTCGGAGATCGGTTTAAGACAGAGTGCACCGTTCGTAACAATGTCGACCAGGCCTCATTGTGAAAACATATTATTACATCGGTCTGTGGTAGGTCTCGCAAATAACGCACGGGTTGTTTGCACCTTTATAAAAATTGTAATGGTGAGATGTTTGAGGAAGTGAAGACATTCACAACTCGCTATTTACCAATCATTCCGCAGATCAGGCAGCGATCGTTGCACCGAAATCATATCGGATACATATTGATTGAATTTATTATACCGCCAACCGTCATCCATGGCCTTCTTCATAGCCTCCGTCATATTTGTGGGCAAATGAACTGGTCTACCCAACTCGCCGGGCGCATTTGTGTCAATTGTCAATGAAGATTGAGCACTCGACGCTTTGTAGAATTGTGGAGCTGACAGTAGATTACAAATTATTTTTAAAAATATTTTTTTTAATAAATATTGTTATTTTCTTACTTGTGCCTACTGCAAACACCATCTTATCTAAGACTGCTTTAACTTGGAGGAACTCAAAGTCAGTTTGCAGAGACTCTGTGCTGCTACCATCCGTCACTGGCTCATTAAATGTCGTTTCCGTTGACTCTGGCGCCTGTAAGTTTAGATCTCGTAGCCGTCTGTAATAAATGAGTGTCATCAAGGTAGCAACTACCATTATAAGCTTGTCAATTGATAGTGGCCGTCGTATTCTGATGAGTTTTTGAATAATTCGCAACATTCTGGTAGCACTTTGGGAGAACTTTGGGAAAACGTTTTGTACTTAATGTTGGGTTCAGCTGTAATTAATGAGGAAAACATGAGAAATTGTATGCGTCAGTAAAGATTAAAAAATACACTTAAGAGCAATAAAAGCTTTTGCAGAACCGATAGCGTTCATTATCTCAAGGCTTTAGATATAGATGCAAAAGTTTACAAATCTAATATAGTTTAACTTTGACTACACATAAGCTTCAGCTTTCATTGGGATCATTTTTAAATGCATTGCTTTATATTTTATTTAGCTACATAAAGTTAGTGGACAAATTGAATGCAAATTGCTCTCTCACGATAGTTAAAGTTACACTTTTGTGATGGCCAGATCTTCGCTGCTTTCTTTTATCATCAGCTCATTAATTATTTATAAATTATATTATTTAAATATTTTTACCGAAATATTTATATGCCACTTGGTATCAGATTTTTTTGCTTTAAATATTTGTTATGCTAAGTTTACTGCATTTTTTTACCGATATTCTACGAGCGGCTCTACACTAACCTGCTACCGTCTAATGCCGAAGTACATCTCCATCATCCTACATCTACTCCTATATTTAACTGACTAAACTCTCTTCAAGCGTTTGGGGCATTATTCACGCTGATTAACCGTACAATTTAGTGACGCTTTTAGAGCGCTTGACTGGATTCAACTTATGCTGCTTAATGATGTAATAATGCTCTACGAAAATGTTACTACTTTTAAGTTTTCACCATATTTTAAGAGCTCAATAAATAAGTTGTTAGTGTGCTTTGTAATTATTTGATCGAATACGTTCGTAAACATTGGTGTAAATAGTTAACGATTATCAAGCGTTTTGAAACTACATACAGGCAAAGACAGTACACAGAGTTTATCGCTCGTTTCCAACTAAAATTTTGACTATAGCTTCATGCTACTGCTCATTTCAAAATTGCTAAAGGGATTAAGATCCTTTTTTTTATTATGTTTCGTAGAGACAGAGTTTTTAGAATCATCGCCGCTTGTAAAGGTCCGATGATTGTGATTCAGAAGACTGGCCCAATGGCGCACATTTTGTATCAAAATGTCAATATTAGAACGGTCTAGTACATGTCTAATAAAGGCAGAAGAAAATGAACTTGATAGCTTTTTCTTTCTTCCAGAATAAGTTAGCAAAATTAGGTCTATTTCTAGACTAGCATAACCCCTTAAATCAACTAAATATGTATATTAAAATTTATACAACAAAAGATTCTAACTACGTATATACTTGTAGTAATAATCACAAACCAAACGAAAGAAACAATTTATAAAAAACTCGTTTATGCTTCAAATAGGAATTGTTTGAGGAGCGGTCTTAGAAATATCTTCATGTCAATCAGTGACAGGTTTGCAGCCTAAATTCTTCATAATAGCAACGAGCGCTATCAACCAACTCCACCACGACAGCACTAAATAAAATATTGTTCCATTATTTGCTTAATGTTTTCGTTAAAATATAACACCCTTAGATGAGTATCACTTTTATTTTTTATTTATTTAACTGATAACTGTTTACTACTGTAATTTGCAAATAAACATAGCAAAACATTCCAAGTAAACAAATTGTTTGAATAATAACGGGTTCATTCAATTTTATTTATCATGAATCACCCAGTATACAGCACTAACTGAACGTATGCACAGATGGCGCTAAGATCACTAGTTGCAATCTGCCTCACAACCAAAAGTACAGTGCTGGTTAAGCTGTCGCTTGCTTTTGTCGCCATCAAAGCAATTAAAAGATATTCTAATGCAGCGGCCTTCAAAACATGTATATAAAGGGACTGCATCCAGAGAACGCATATTACATATATGATAATATATTATATGATATACGTTCTCTGACTGAATCAGTTAAAAAAAGTTTTGTATTTGTTTCCTCTGTTTGAATTATAGCGCTTGGTGTAGAGGCGTTGTTCCAGGTCTGAGTCTGAGTTATCTTTTCACACTTTCAGTTTCGATACCTTAATACGTTTTATTCATTTCCTCTCATCTAACCGTACTTTCTGGACTACTGGCCACTAAAACCAGCTATTATCAATAAAGATCAAATCAATAAGACACTGTAATTATATTTTTGTAAGTAGGACTTTATTTTTCATTTCTTATTAATACTTGAATTGTTCTCAAATGCTTCCGTTTCCATCTACCCCACCCAGTTAACGTATTTCAAATTAAATGCCTGAGTTCTGTTTGATCCAAGAGCGTAGTGCACCGATATAGGTGTACATAGCCGGTTTACCAGCTGCGCCACAACCGAAGCCCCACGAAACGACACCGAAGAGTTTGTTGTCAACTGTCAATGGGCCGCCAGAGTCGCCTTGGCAAGCGCTAACTTGACCACTTGGATGACCAGCACAAACCATACGATCCGTAATACCGGGTATATTCTTTGGATTGCAGAAGTCACGACTCCACAACTGTACGCGTGCATACTTCAAGCGATTGGGCAGCTCCAGATTACCATTGATGGCACCAAAACCGCTAATAGTGGCAACCGTGTCAGCCGCGTGATTTGCCTCCGTATCTGCCAATTCAATCACGTCGATATTATCATCCATCGTCACCGGCGCGCTCAGTTGTATGAGCGAAAGATCGTAGTCCTGCGTCTGTCGATTATATTGTGGATGTATAATGAATTTGTCAATTTCAAAGGATTTGCCGTTACGGGTGAGCAAATCCACAGTGCCGGCGATGACGCGCATTTGCGCAGGACTCTGACCGATCGTGCAATGGGCGGCAGTGACAATCATAGTCGGCGATATGAGTGAACCACCGCAATGATGACGTCCACGCAGCTGTAATGAGACCTGGTGCGGAAACTGGCCGGGCAGCGCAAAGTTACCGCCTATAATACGCGTACCGGCGGCAACGGGTTCTATGACGATTGCGCCGAGACAGACCAAGCTAAGCAGTAGGTACATATTTTTGTAAATTAAAAAAATTTTTGGAATATGTTTTCAAATAGCACTCGAACAAGACCACACATAAACTATATGCTAGCCAAAGAATGTATGCGACTTTTATAGACGTCGAATTCTTATACAGTTGGATCGAACATTAGAAACAGCTTTGTTGTCTTGCCTTGGAATATGCGTTTGTTTTGTATTTGCTTACCTCGGCAGGAAATGAGGTCAAGTGTAGCGCTGAGAAATTACCATCCAGCTGTGTGTGCAAATTGGGTCAGAAATTTTGCAAACACCATACGCAGGGTCAATGACAATCGGCTACCCTAGTGCGTCGTTTAAGCGCTTTCCAGCGCTTGATAACTTATAAATGTTTGTAGGATTGCTTGCCTACTTAGCTGGAACCAGTGGGCTGCCTATAAAGGCATTGACTTTGAGTTAGTCACTGTGTAAATATTTTCCGACTGTCTTCTACTGTAACTGGAGTCATGCTGCGCGACCGTTATCTTTCGCTGGGAGACATTTTGCGCCAACAATTGTTGAGATTTTGCAAAAGAACCGTTAAACAATCGGACGTGCAAATATTTTTTGCATGCGCTATTTTTTATTTAATTTATTGTTTTTTTTTTTACAAGTTTGATTTGTTTTTTGTATTTTTTGCATTTTAAATTCTTTCCCTATATTTTTGCAGCCGTTGGGTTCAATGATTTTGCTACTATTTGTGGAATATTCACTTAACGTTTACCCTCACTCTGTCCATTACAAATCATCCATATATTTTGCCAACGTTCACGATTGTAGATATCTTTATAGTTCTGCACTGAAACGAGGAATTCCTAAAAGAAATATTAAAAAAGTGTTAAGAAGTGGGAAATCCATTTCAATGGCTTTTAAGAATTGTTGAAAGCCACGAGCTCAAATCACAAGATTATATAACCGAAGTCCGTTACCAACTTTTGCGTGGAACATGGCCATCTAAAAGGCCCTTAGAGATATCATTTGAAAACTCACTTTTTGATCCAAAATACACAAAAAACAGTTCTTCCAAACTTCGACGGCTTGCAAGTATTAAACATAATTAATATTGCATGTATGATTTTTCCAAATGAAAAGATATCGTTGTAGCTTGAGGACCGATACGAAAGTATGATAAGGAAAGAGAGAAGAAGGAACTAAAAGCTCTAAATACACAGATCTGGTGCACGTTCTTCGCGAAAAACTACTTGGAAATTTTAAAAACTAACTACTCAGTTAGTTGTCTTACTAATAATGTTATGTATTACCGATACGTCTTAGAACTTCCTTGATCTCGTGAACTTGCTCGCTAAGACAGTATAAAATATTCTTTACAGAATACTCACCGGCCCAAAAAGTGTTTGTACAACTACGTTTTCCGCCGCAAGATTCTTATTAGTTGGAACATGTGTGATAACTAAAGCGGTGTTGCTCTGAAAAAGATAGATGAGTACTAAGCTTAAGTTGTTGTTTTGAAAATGCATTAGGCAGAGGCCTCATTAACTGTACAACCCACAAAAGGTTCTAAAATATTTTTTATAACCTCCATAATACTCACCGGCACTGGCGAACCATGACTTTCGAAACGCTTCTTCGGCTCAATGTGAGTGCAAAACCATTTCGTATATGCTGAGGGTATTTCTTTGCCGGGACCACAGTTCTAAGCGTTGAATTCATTACAAAATATAGCTTTTCAGTCACAGGACTTAAAAATAAGCTCCAAACTTACACTTTTCCTACATAACCCAAGTGGCAGGTTGATTTCGCCCCATTTTCTCGAATCAAAGGTCGTATAAATCATGCTCTTCAAATCCGCCGATTTCGGCGCACTATACAATAGCAGCATAGCATCTTGGCTCTCCACACATTCCAAGCGAAATTGTTGTCCATATTTAATCACCTCATTGGTGCGATCCTTCTCATCGCCACTGACTATACGAAACGAATTGCGTACACAGGGTGTGACCGAGGGCGCAATGGTTATTTCGCACTCGTCATTGATATTCTGACTATGCCGCACAACGCGCTCATTAATGATGACCGAGAGTGCGGGCTGTACCTTTACATGCTCCTCACAGATATTCATCTTCATTGGCATTAACTGTACAATGGCGCCGAAGTAGACATTCTCTTTGGGCGCCTCCAATTCAATGGCTTTGTGAAAATTATCGAAGAGTCGACGTGTCTTCTCCACCAATAATTGTCCACGGTCGCGTAGGCTCTTAAAGGCTTGCACTTTTTCCTGTTTGTAAGCGTACGAAAATAAATATTTTATTGCCATATTAGTGATATCCACACGAACCTGCTCCAAACAGATGTCCTCAAACCAATTGCCAATGCGCACCACGGGCCGATAACGTGCGGTCGGTATCATCGATGTCATTTTGCATAAGATTTTATAAAAATTGTAATTATCTCTTCGTAATAAAACTATATTAAATAAAAGTTAACAAATATTTGCGACGTTGCTTGAATTTTATGAAAATAAATAAAATTTTAATGTCTTCTGCATTCGAGTTTTTCAAAAAAAAAAATATTATGAATACAGTTCGAGTTAGTACTGTGTGGAAATTATCGAGCTTTTATTGCAAGAAGGAGAATAGATAGAGTAGTAGTTGATTCGTAGATTCAAAAAAAGGGGTGGTCGGCAGAAACCCCGACCTTATGCTGTCGCATTTAAGTAATCATGATGTTCAATATACTTCCAAGTCCTAACGATATTCTACAACTCGGTTTTTCCACCCTAGTTGCGCAATTTATTTTAAATTGGAACATTATTGAACATATCAATGATATCCGATCTCAACTGACTAAAGGCTGAGCATGCGCAAGGCCAATGTTCTTAGGTTTCATCATCCTACGCGCAAGCTCTGTATTATAACGATTACTAAGTTTGTAGATGTTTGATCTCAGAGGTTATGGCTCTGTGATGACAGTACCATGTTACTTAATTCGCTCCTACCTAAAAACGAAGGCTTTTGATCTATCCACTATCCACACTATTCAAAAATAATTTTGTGGTACGCCCTATGTTGGTAAAATCTATAAAAGGGGGGTTCGGTAAACATGTAAGACTTTTTTATGTGCGCTTCTTTCTATATCGTATTGGTCTCTTTAAGAAACTCAAAATTGCGTGATAAAGACGTAAAAGCGCATAAAATTTGTGAAATATTGTCTGGTACATGTCGAGTTAGAACCGCTACGGTATTTTCTCTCAGACGTTCCAGCTTTTGCGAGACTACGGTTGAAACATTTTTGATAAGCTAACAGAGCTTTGTCTAATATATGAGAATTTGGATGCGTATTTTTTTTTCGGTAGCATCATTGTTTGGGCTTCTATTGTGGGTAGCAAGCGACGCTTAAAGTTGGAACCGAATGAGATAAACGGAATGACATCACTATACTCTGAAGACTTTCTTCAATAGAAAAGTAATATATTTCATTTGGGTTTATAAATAAAATTTTAAAACCCTCATTACCGCTGCTTTTGAAATTTTTGCTCATTACCTCATTACTTCTTGCTGAAGTATTTTCTTCTCTTTGTGGTATTCATCTTTATAGCATCTTATAAATAGAGGGTCATACAAATTTCTGATCAGCCATAGCACCAGAAAAGCTTCTTTTTATACTATAAAAATACTAACAATCGACAACTGGGTAGAAACTTAGATCTGGTCGACTAGTTGAGGGTACATCTACAAGTATATACCTATTTTTTATAGTTTGAAGAATATCATACTTTAGACATGGTTATCATTAGAGTTCGGTCACTATGGTCTTTGTGGTATTCTCAAAGTTTATATTGTTTGATTATAACATCTAAATAGAAGTTCATCTTAGTTTTGCTTGGTTTTTGCTGAATGTTTTTGCTTAAACATAACTTGAGACCCCAAACATGATGTGACTATTGTTGGGTTATCTTAGTGGTTTAGTGCATGGTTTTATAACAAGCATACCAGGCAGTCTAGAATACAACTCATTTTCTAGTAAATGTACATGATTTGCTCCAAATAAAGTAAATGCTTCGTTTTTACTCAATAAACAAAATACCGCTTGGTACTCGTCAACTATCACGAACCACAAACCCATGAACAAGTATATGCGAATATACTGACTATATTTGATAATATAATGTGCATGTTTCTGGGAAACTTCATTGCTCACAAGCCTCTATACTCTTCATCTAACAGCGAGTTTTCTGAAACCACAACTGTATGAATATTAAATAAGTTAAGTAATACCTCAGCAAATATAAAGTTCGTTGGCAATGAAAACGGCTATTATGTGATATTATGAGTATCAACAATAAATATGTATATAATTCGTGTAGAATATTGAATAAGCCAGTCGTTAAATATACATTAATTAGAGAGACTTAATCCAGCTAATGGTTTAGAGCTAAATGTAGTTTGACGCTTCCTCTAAGTACTACTAAAGTTGTGTAGTTGTGGACAATTGGATAAAAGTCACTTAGATAGCACAAAGTCTATAATAAAAGTCAAGCTTGAATAGTGAGGGTGGTGAGAAAAGTTTATATGAAAAGCAGTCAATCAGCAAACCAGTTGATTTATCGATAAATCAGCGGTTTACAATTAGTTCGATTATGATATTAACGAGCGGCTTAAGTTTGTAAGAAATGGTGAAATAATTATTCGAACTCACAGCTGACGAGAATTTTTACTATGCGAGTAGATAGCATAAGTATCAGAAGTACATATAAAAGTAACTAGACAATTTCTTGCCATTTTCCTCGAAGTAGTTGTTTGAGTTTCGAGAAAGGGCATTTCTTTAAGTTTCGATGATTATCACATTTTTGTGATTTTGGTTTGGTATTTTAAATTTTAGAATCTGAGCGATATTATCAGAAATTTGAAAATCTGAAAGACATAATCGGAATAAACTGTTCAAGCTGTTCAGGCACGAAAAAACCAAATGAAGAGGCCTTAAATCTAGAACAAGAACACAGAACAAGTTGTTATCCATTTCCTTCCCCATCGCACGTTGTTTTTCATCTTCATATAAGTAAGAAATACACCAGTTAAGGGTATTAGAACTTCGGTGCAGCCGAGGATAACGGATTTTCGTGTTTTGCTGTGCGTTTAACACAAAATACGTTAGTTCATGATGTTATGGGAAGGTTTTATTTACAGTCACTAGTCACTAGTCATGTATTAGTTTAACTGAAAATCAGCCAACAAGCCGGTCAAGCACGCCGGTTATAGTTATCTGTCTGACGAATGGATGTCAGCTGCAATTGTTATACAGCACATACATATGTATTAGTTTATGTAGACACACACTTATAAGTATATATAAATACTTCATTATCTGTTTTCGACACTGGTGATATTCACGTGAAGCGCTGCGACGCCTGCTCGCCTACTAATCACGTTCGCTATCTAGAGAATCTCGTGCTTGTTTCTAGCGACTCGATAGCATTCGCAGAACATTTGCTGATAGCAAATGGCATTTTATGTTGTTGTTTAATTGTTGTTATGAACAGTATAAACAATTTTGTGAAACAAGTTTTGTTTTGTTTTGCTGGCGTTCTTTTGTTGTTCAAAACAGTCTAATATGCAAATATGTATATACCTAATGGTATAGCGGGTTAACGGGACAATGACGATACATAAAATATATATGTCTAAGTATTTACATTTTGTTAGTATTTTCTAAGTAGTTTTCTTCCTATGCCTAGTTTAATGGATTTATTAGCGACAGTGATAAGCTGGTTTATTAGTAGACTAGATAGTAAACCGATCCAACAACTCATGTGAGACAACTGTATAAATACTGACGGTCTGTATGTGTTGTTGTAAGTGCAGCAACAGCACTTTAAAAGGCTGGTGTAGGTGACATTTGAGCTGTTAGACGGAAAGCTGTGTGCTCTGCGTCAACAAATGAAAATGTTATAAAAAAGGTGAAAGGCAATTTACGATATACATACATACAGATGAATGTGTACCAACCTAAATTGAAAGTAAATTTTGTTGGTTTATATTTACAAAATGTAGTATGTTGAAATTAACTAGATACATACATGTATACATATGTATATTTATATCTATTGAATCGTCATTAGATCAAATTTTTTCGCACAAATTTAAAGTTTTTGACACACAAGCGACTATTTTTATATACATATATGGAGGTTTATTTTTTTTAATAATATTTTTTTATTTAATTTTTTTTTTTTGTTTTCGAGAAGGCAGCATTGAAAGCCGGAACCCGTGGAACTTTAATCCAAACTGAACCTCCTACCGTCATATACCGAACCCCCTGAAAATCCAACTCGGACAAATATTGAAGTTCGCACGCTGGTTGAATGGGCTCAAGACCAGATGGCTGCTGATCCCGAATTTCACAGAAAAATTGTTGAAGCTCAGTTTTGGTTAAATGGTTACGTTAAACAAAGTTGTCGAGTTTGCCGTGTTGATAATCCCAATGGCTTGTGGAGACGGCGTTATATACTCAAAATGTTATGTTATAGGTATATGTAAGTGAACGATAGCGATCACAAAGCTGTCATATGCATACTACAAATCAGGATTACAAGCAAAGTGATTCGAAGTTCAGCAAAGTAGTGGTAATATAAGTCTGACCGGCCATACGACAGTCACGGCTGTAAAAATTTTGTCAGCGCGCAGACCAATTTTTTCTATCATTTTCTTAAAAGCCTTGTGCAAAAACTGATGTAAACAAACGTAAGTGTGTGAGTTTGCATCTTTCTTTAACACATGGGTATTCGGAATTGTTTCACTATATATCTATACTGCTCACTCTCATATCTTTTTCTAAGTCATTGCTGATCATAAATCTATCATAGCTGCAATTTGTCAGTTATGACTGTAAATGTCTATCACAAGTGAAAAATTCTTTTGCGCAGTTGATAATATAATTTTTATTTCGTTAATAAAATTAAAACTTTTAAAATAAATTAGTTATAATAATATACCTAAATATAAAATAGGAGTGTAACAAAAATATAATTAAATAATAAATTATGAAAAGAAATAAAAACTTAATTCCATGCTTGCTCCTCTCAAAAGCTCTGCTGTACGTATTTTATCCAGTTCATGAATAGTTCGGGATTTAAAAATGCCTAAATAAAAATAAAAATTAACTAAAAATATATTTTAATTTCAAACTTTATAATAACTTACGTAAGTATATTTAATTTGAAAACTCCTTCGTTATTTATTTATTTTTAATAAAACAAAGATTGTTATTGCACAGAAACAAGCGACACTTTTGGTTTATCGCACGACACATAAGCACAGGCAGCTACATAAGTATTTCACAACTTCTCGAAACTTCTATAGCAATGTATGTTGTCTTCTATCGACCTATATATACTTTGTTTTTGGAAAAATCGTAAACATTTTACTGTTCATATGACTGTCAGTACTGACATATCAAATGTGAGTGTATTGGTGAACCCATCAGCAGTTTCCTGTAGGGCTGTTATAAAACGAGACCAACTGCGGGATTCAGATAGGGTGCAAAAATAGCAATTAAAGCCTTGCGATAATTTAAATAAACACACACACACAAACAAAGGCACATTTTAACTACTTAATTAACCACGGCAGTCACTGCTAAGAGCCATATATCACAAATTTATTAGGGCCACTAAATAATATGGTCAAGCAAACACTACGATTTACAAGTCGTTATACTTAAATACACACGCACACATATAAAAAAGCAGCGCTTCCAATAAATTTATTGAATGGAATATTCGTATGTATTGTATTTGTATATCAAAGTAGACTTTCGATTTTCTAGTGATTGTAAAGCAAAGTCA